GGTGTAACTGTGTGCCAGGCTACCCTATAACACGGCTACTTCCAATGGCAGCTTTCTAATTGAGCCGGAGACTTGCGGTGTTTCCCTTTCTGTTCCCTGCCCTGTTGTAGAGCTTTTGGCTGATAATGAAGAGTACACGATCATTTTCTTCTTAATGGCTGCTGGAGCACCTTATCACTCGATTCTAAGGGGACCTGATTAACTTTTAGCTTGTAAAAAGTATCGTGAAAAGGAGGCCACAACAGAGTCAACTGGTAACTATACTGTAATCATAACAGGAATATCAGAAGGAAACCCTGAAATGGACTGGCAAGGGCTAAATTTAACTGGAACTGGAAAGCGAAGCTCCTCTCGCTAGCAGTATTTTCAGGGTATTAACTTTTGAGAGTCTGAGCTCCCTTGGTCAGATACCCTTCTGGTGAAGGGAGCTTTACTATTAAAAGTTAATACCCTGAAAAATCTTGGTGGTCTCTAAGATGAGACGCGACTTGAATCTAGCTCTTCAGCTGCAGACCAACATGGCTACCCTCCTGTCACCGCTCTTGCTAAATGGCTGAATCCAGCACTTCCCAGTAAGGCAAGCCAGGACCAATGCACTAGAGCATCATTTGTTCATTCACCTTTCCACTTCCACTGGAACTTGGCAGGTTTGTTTCAAGAAGGGTTCAGAGCTCAGCCATGCTTCTTTCGGAAACCTGAAGCTAGTACTGCCAGAATAATTTCCCCTTAAGGAGAAAGTTTTGACATTTGTGGACAGTAGGGGGCAGGCTAGTTTTGTAAGTACAGCATCCACATATCATAGATATGCTATCAATTGTGCTATAGCAGTCATTTGCAACTGTGTTTTTCTGTGTACACGCGCAGCGGTGCGCTTCCCCAGCAAAGGGAAGGTATTTAAACTTTAAACACCTCCCCTTCCTTCTGGGGCCAGCTGCAGAGGCTGGCTGGGGAGGGGAAGTGAAAGGGAGGCATTTAAAGCTGCCTCCCTGATCGCTTCCCCAGCCAGCCTGCCAAGGCGGGCTGGCTGGGGAAGTGAAGAGAGAAGGGGTTTTAAAAGTTCAAACCCCTTCATTGTACCCTATGGGGCCACAGGGAACAATGGAGAGATCACGCCACATCTGTGGAGCAACTCCAGAGAGGGGGATTAAATTTGGCAGGCTGGCTGGGGAGGAGAAGCAAAGGGGAGGCATTTAAAGATGCCTCCCTGATCTGCCTTCACTTCCCCAGTGGAAGAGGAGGAGGAATGAAACTGAAACGCTCTACTGGCAAGCTGAATATATTTCGCAATGATGAGTATTTCCCAAATCCCAGTATCAAACCAAAAACGGGATTCGGGCATATCGGCATCTACCAATATTTTTTGAGTTTTGGTGTACGCGAACCTGAAAAATACCAATTCCCCCCCCCGCCCCCCGTGCCTCACCAGGATGCCAAGCCAGAGATAATTAACTGATATTTCTAGTAAGCACAAATGCTACTTTGCAGCCACCAACCATTTCAGAAATAATTTGGGATGTCTGCACAAATGAACTAATCTTAGGATTGGCTCACTGGAATCATTATCAATGAATATGTTAAATTTGCCTGGTGAACTCATACACACTGAAGTTCGTGGCATCCCTACTTTCATGCATATGAGACTCACTAGATAATGCAAGGGTAAACAGCAATAACCATCAAGGGAGGCTGCCTTGTTTGTTTGTTCTAGGCAGCCATTTTAAAGCTGAGAAAATGCTGTCAGACAGCACAACTGGTTTTGTTTCCAAAACAAAATTAGAGTGTTTTTAGTTCTGAGTGTTGGAGGGCAGGGGCATAGTACACCATGGAGAAAAAGTTCTTAGCCAGGTTCTTACCAGAAGTGCCAAAGGGTAACTCTAGGAATTGACAGAAACTCGATGGTAACACTTATGGTAAGAACTTCTGGTGAGTACACAAGGCTGCATTTTACACTTTTTTTCTCCTGTTGCTCTTCCAAGTAGTGCTGGCAACAGGACCTGGGGGGTGGGGAATCCCCCATTGGGGGCTTGCAGACCTAGTTCTCAACCAAAAAGCTGATGGAAGGATAAAGGCATTCATATCCCCTCCACATTTAAAATATGAGCCAGGCATTCTCCTTTCCCTATTCTTTATCATTATATTCACAACTGCTAATTTGAGGCCTCGGAACTATTTGCTTTTTAACTCTTTTTTCTGCCTCTCCCTCAAAAGTACACATTAAGCAGAGGACATTTACAAATAGGCGAATGGAAAAGATTTATTTTAAGTATCTAGCAGATAAACAGGTTCACTTATTTACCAATGGCTCTTATGTCACTGATGAACAGAGACTAGCAATAGCAAACTACAGAAGTATTTAATATAAGTGGCAGAAAACGAACATCTCAAGTGGAAGGTATTAAATCAGCAAATAGAAACAGGCCTGCATAATACAGTGGACGTGCTCTGAGTTCAAATAAGAGAAACAAAAAGAGAATACAGAATTTCACGACAACTGTAGGCCACATGAGTAAAAATATTCCTGATATACAGTAGAAAAAGATTACTGTTCTTTCTTGTTCTATTAAAAATACAAAAACAACATTAAACTGGCACCTTCTCCTCCATGTCAGCAATTACGTAGGACACAACAGCCCAAACAGCAGCACAGAGGTTCATCTGAGTTGGATCCTGAACTGTCATCGTGTCCCCTTGGGAATGATGAAACCAGAAGTATCTTGTGATGTCATCACGCAAGCTAGCACCTGTGAGGAAAAATTGAGCAAATTCATTATGGGAATTTTATGAGCATTCTTCTTTCATTGACATTGATTAAATCCATATGAACATCTGACAGTCTTTATATGGCTCATCTAGTCTTCTTAAAAATAGGGTGCTCAGGTTTTCATAGCTTCCGTATTAAATTACATCATTTCATCAGCCATGTATGAGTAAATAAGACAGCTAAAAACAGGATACACACACACACACACATCTTAACTGTGGGCAGATCTGCGAATACTTAAATCTACTGATCAGGCCCACACTGAGACAAAGGAGTTTTTCTTCAAATTTGGGGGAACCCTCAGGTTTGCAGAAAAATCTGAAATCGGTAAAAAGAAATACCGGGGCGGTTATAACCCCCCCCCCAAAACAAAAGTGTTGCCTGCGCATGTGAAGACAAGGCACCTACCCTTTTTGGAATCTCAGTGGTGTGTGTGTGTGGGGGAAGCCATGGCAGTTGATACCTGGAGATGCACTGGGCTCACCAGCATCGATGTTGGGGGGAGAGCCTGTGTTATGTATTGGGACTGAAACATCCCAGGACTGTTCCACCAGAGACGGGCTAAGCTTGGAGCCCAAGAACAATAGCCCACCAGGATTCTGGAAGTAACCAATCAAGAAGTAATGTTATATAAATAGCCTATTGTTGGGAGTGGGGTGTGTTTGGGTGTGGCAACTGCATGCTATTTAAACAGGGCTGCGGCCATGGAGTTCAGTCTTGTTCTTGCTGAAATCACTAATAAAGTAGAGCTGATCACTAGACTTGGGGTCTGCTCATCTATGGAACCCATTATTTAACAGCCTGACATCCCAAAAGCAGAATCTTTGAGGATGGAGGCCTTCAGGAGCCACAGAGGCCTGGAGCCATGCTAGCTTGCTGGCATTGATATCTCGGGTGTGTGTGTGTGTGTGTTGGCATCCCAACAGTAAAAGCTTTGAAGCTAAAGGGCTTCAGGAACTGCGGTGGGCACAGCAGTGGAGGCCTGAATCCTTGCTGGGCTTGTTGGTATTGATGTCAGTGAGGGGTGTGGGGTGGAGGAGAGTGTGGTGTCCCAGTGGCAGAAGCTAAGTATTGCAGATCCCCATTTGTGTGTGTGTGTGAGAGATTGGGTTGAATAAGGATCATAGTTTTAAACAATCTGAATTTGGGTGTATTTACCATGAACTAGTGGATCCTCTGCCCTTCATGTTATACTCTTGCCTCACAAGGCTGGGAAGTGTGGTTATAATGCAAAAAGAGTGACCGGCTCCTATAGTTGTTTCTCATGCTTTCATTCAAAATAATCAGCAGAGAAAGTTAATGGAGTCTAGAGCAAAAAGGGTCACCATCCCTTAAGTCTTAAAATTCACTAGTGCTGTACTCTTGCATCTATTCTCGATGCCCGTGCCACCCTTCCAATATCAGCATTCTGATATTTGAAATCCGGGTGTCAGTAAGAACTTCAAACTTCACTGCCTTGCTTCTGACCATCCTGGTTATCATCTTTTAGTTATTACAGAGGTCTCATTCTCTGGCCAGTTCTTACCCAGGAATAACAAGTCTGCCTCTCTCTTACGGGTTTGGGTCCAGCAGTGGGAGAATGTTCTTGAGACTAACCTCCCCCCTGATTGGGTCCCATCAAGTGAAAAAGCATCTAATGAATGTAAACACCCAGGCTTCCTTTGGTAAATACGTATCTTGTGATCACGTTCTCTCTGATCACTTGGGAGTGGGACCAAATCCATGCCTGCTGACATAATATATCTAATTCCCATGATGGCTTCACCATGGGGATGGAAAAAATCCAAACAATGTGGCCACAGTCAACTAGTAGAGAGGTTTCTGCAAGCCCTGGGAAAACCCCATGTTTGCAAAAATAAATAAATAAATCCAAAGTTATAAAAAGTTAAAAGTCCTCCTCCCAAAGCAATGCATGTGGAGACATCACAAATGGGAACAGATTTCCATGAAGATAGCAATCTCCTCATGAGTGAGCACCACACAAGATCTCAGTCACTGTTTTTTAGCTGCCTAGGAAGCTCATCACAATCATGAGCTCACTGTGTCATGTTATGGAGAAACAGCTGTAGAGTTTAATGCCTTCTGAAAAATACTGGGTGGCAGATGGCTTGCCGAAAGCTTGGCAACACTGCATCTTCTACGGATTCCTCCAAAACACAATGTGAGTCAGAGTCCTCACCACTGTGAGGGGTTGCTTTAGTCATCCACAATGCTGTAGAGGCAACAGCCATCGCAATGAAAAGAATCGGATGGCGGAGGTGGGGGAGTGGGTCTTGGAGCAATGGAGAAGCAGAGCCAGCACAGGGAGAGGGTATGGTAGGGATGATGGTGAACATGGGCACAAGAAGGAAAGGGAACCAGACAGAGGAAAGTGGAAGATGGGGAAGCAGAAACTTTGGGGAAAGTGAAGACTGTATGTTAAGAACTATGCAATGGCATAGGGGGAGAAATTAAACCCAACACTGGCTTGAGCAGGGACCAGGGAAGGAATGGCATTTTCCCGCCCCCTTGAGTCTTCATGGGTCCCCCTCTTGGTATCATTCACAGAGTGTCATCAGTATGCATCAAGTTAAACATAAAAACACAGTGCAAGTCTGTGCCCCAAAGGGTTCACAGTCTACACGAAGACATAGGAAAGGAGAAGGAGGCAACAGAGAAGGACAAGACATGAAAGTGAGCAAATGCACATACCTATCTTTCGCTTCAGTTTGGGTAAATACTGAAGGACTAAGCTAAAGGCTTTCATGGAAGAGTTTGGGTTTGTAAGGGGGAGAGAGATGTAGGTCAAGGCATAAAGTGCAGCAAGGGAGAAGGGGGGTACTACTTCCAAGTGCAGCAAGGGAGAACAGTACTACTTCCAAGTGGTGGCAGCAGCATGGAAAGAGGTTCCCATTGACTTTGGTAAGAAACATATTTCTAAGTTTGTGTTTCTTGTTAATAGAATCATAGCATCACAGAGCTGGAAGAGGCCATACAGGCCATCTACTCCAACCCCCTGCTCAATGCAGGATCAGCCTACAGTATCCCTGACAAGGGTTTGTCCAGCCGCTGCTTAAAGACTGCCAGTGAGGGGGAGCTCATCACCTCCCCAGGCAGCTGATTCCACTGCTGAACAACTCTTACTGTAAAAAAGATTTCCCTAATATTCCCGCCCTTAATTTAAACCCATTATTGTGAGTCCTGTCCTCTGCTGCCAACAGGAACAGCTGTTGTAGTTACATGTTGTATTCACATACAGTATGAGTGCGTGTGAGGGGAGACCCACTTCCGTCCTTAGAACACACACTGACAGTATGATGTGAGTGCTCTTGATCTGACTGTATTGAAAGCAGCTGAGTGGTGTCGGGTATTACCATTGAAACCAGCTGCATATTCTTATGAACACTGTTGATGTAATGGATTTTCTTGCAAAATAAAACTTCAGATCATTTCAATAAGTTCTTGTGAAATAATTCTACGAAATATTGCTCTGAGCATCCAAGTTCACACTAGCATTTATAGGATTTTTTTTAAAGCTCAGTTTTTATAAAGACCCAGGGCACTGCTTAATTATACAAAATGCTTCTCAGGTATCACACTGATAAGAATAATTATGTTCTTTCTATAAAATAGCATTTAATCCTTCATTTACTGAGAGAACGCAGCCAACGCTTTTGCCTGGTAATGGATCATACCATTAAAAGCTTAAAAGCTGTTAGATGCTAATTGGTTTTAACCGTAAATACGCTCAGAAATTAGAAGGGTGGGGTATTCAAAACCTTGTGGTTAATCTTCCACTGGGGCACGGTGGCTTTTTAGCACCCCCTTCAGTGGAAGCCACTGCTGCCCCCCCCCACGCCCTTCTAGGCTAGGGACCCTTTGAACTGGGGCTGCTAGGTACAGCTACTAACAATAAGAAAGAACGTCTCCTCTCCTGTGTAAAAGTGGTTCTGCTGACACATGTTTGGATCCTAAAAATATCAAATTGTTTGACCATAAATACATGGATTGGGTTAATGCCAGAACCAGCCAATCATAATCTTTTACTGACGTTAATGAGATTCACTTTCAAAGGCATGGTGGATGGTTGTGCTGTGTGGCCAATGACAAAAGAATGACGAAAAGGAAACTGAGTATATCATCTCAAATGTTTGTTTCCCCTTTGCATTACTGGTAAAAAGAAAGAGCTACCTATGGAGAATAACACAGTGCAGTTTGATCTGAGGCCACTGAAACAAATAAGCGTAGAGTGGAGTAAGTTTAGGATTGAACTGTAAATATTGCATTTCAGAGAAACCCAGAAGGGGGAAAAATTACATGCATGTCTTATTGTAAGCTAACAAGCCATCCTGGGTACTCTGACTAAATTTATTTGGTTCTGCCCCAAGAAACACTTGGCATGTTTCATAAATGACATTATAGTCAGGGCCATTTAGGCATCGAACAGCCTTACGGGCTCCATAGGAAAGAGGATGTGCAAGACTGGGCAAAGGGTATCAAAGGAATGCTGTCATGTTGGGAATTCAAACAGAAACCAAGACTCCTTAAATTATCACTTTAGACTGAAAACGTTGACTTGCGAACAGAAGCAAAATTTTCAGGATCAGAATGCGTGGATCAGAGGCACAGGATCAAAGGTGCAGGTTAAGTAATGAACACTCAGTCTAATAGTGAAGCACCTGACTCCTTTAGCAGCCAAACCAGGCTTCCCACTGATGAACTTGGAGTCTCTATAGACTTGGTGGACTCCTTAGGTATGTAGAACGATATGATTTCATAAATTAATCAAAAGAAGAAGTTACTTCTTGTTGAGGACATAATATGGCCTAGGTCTCCAATCCTGTTGAGCCTGTGAGCACCTTTGGAATGTTGAGAACAGGTCATGGGCACCACCACAAAATAACTGCCACGGGAGGGTCACAGACAACCACAAATTGTTGGGTAATTCCAAACCAAGCATTCTTCTATGATGGAGGTCACTGTTTCTGACTGGGTGCTCCC